TTTAAAGACTCATTAAGCAACGGGAAAACAACATCATAGTTCTTCCTGTATGTCTCTTCTCTGCACGCCTGTTTAGTTTGATACTTTACTTCTGCAGATAAGGTTTTATATGGTACGATAAAAGTGTAAGTCCACAGAAACACAAACAATAAAGCTCCGATTAAACGTGCCACAGTTCAACAGCTGTTAATGAACAGTAAACATATATGACTTCTCCGAAAGGTGCCTGGAGCCAACACACGTGGAAGGGAAAGGTGTGGAAAGGAATATTCATTAGTTGCAGTTTGTAACTTCACCACTAGATGCCACTAAATCTTGCACCCTGGTTCTTTAAGGCATGTTTGAAGAATGTAATCAAAACACAAAAATAACCATACAAGAGAAAACACACTGAAGGGTTTGTACTGCTGATGTGTAAACATGTGCCTTTTTTGGTATGATGTTATGCATGTTTTAGAAACATGTATTTCAAAAAGTCAGCCACAAAGCAACACAACTCAGACAACTAAGGTCAAATGTATCCTCTAAAGCTGTATTTTCTGATGTCAAAATCTTACTGCAATTGAATGAATTATGGGTTTTTATGATACATCTGCAGGTGAACTGATGCTCTTTTTATTGGTTCATGTTCTGATACTGTGTAGATGTCTACGGCTGAAAGTTTCTGCCAATCAGATAACACCAACAGTGAACACCCTCTACGAAGGATATAAAAGAAAGCAGCCTGTCGTGTGTCTCTGCAGGATTCTTGAAAACATCCAACTGTGCAGATCATCTCCAGCAAGACACTGACGTCTTCTCATACTTTCAGACTTCAAACTCCAACATGATCGTGCTCCTCTTGTTGTTCGGCCTGGCTCTGGGTGCTGTGGTTCCTCCAGAAAAGCAGAGAGTGGCGCTACAGCGAGGCAGCTGTCCCTCGCACTGGTTCAGCTTCAACAGACGCTGCTACAAGTACTTAGCCCCACGTGTGACCTGGGCTGATGCAGAGCTCCACTGTGTGTCACTGGGAGCCAACCTGGTGTCTATCCACAGTCTGCAGGAACAAGATTTCGTCCACTCCCTGATCAGGA